AAGTGTTTGATTAATTAGTTTTTTTGTAACAGCTTATTATTACGAAACACTAAAATTCAAATTTTTTCGATCAGCTTCCTGAGAAAGTCATTTTGCATATAATCAGCTATTAGCTAACAACTAATTACCAAACATCTTTCTACAATCAACTAATGCTATCAACAAGTCAAACCCACTAATCTGATTATTTACCAAACATCTTTCTACAATCAACTAATGCTATCAACAAGTCAAACCCACTAATTTGATTATTTACCAAACACCACATAGTGATTTTTACATAAATAATTCAAATTTTAAAGTGTATCTATAAACCCAATACAAACTGATAAAACTACAAAGTACATACAATAATAATGCACTCAACATCCGTACCTTTAAATAGGGGTGACCACGGTTCGGTTCGAACCAAAACCGTGCAATGTACAATCGGAACTGGAATCGAACCGTCCGTAAGGTTCCAGTTAAAGTTTGTGTAATAAAGGAACCGGAACCGCTGGTTCTGGTTGTTTCAAACCGTAAAATAAAATAAAATAAAATAAAATAAAGTAAAGTTTAGGTAGACACTTACAAACTTTAAAAAAAACTGGAACCGGCAGTTCTGGTTTGGCCATTTGTGGAACCGAAATCGAAATCGCGGTCACCACTACCTTTAAAGTGCACCCATGAACTTTTTATTGAGAAATACTATGTGTACTCTCACTTTATACTTCCAAATTTTACTCTCATCCACAAAATCTTGATGTGGACACTTGGATTGGGACCCACATTAAAAAAAAAAAAACAAAAAAAAAACAACTAATCAGAGCCCGCCCTACATAGTGAGTAAGATTTGGGAATATATGTAGTAGAACTCCTTTTTATTACACCTAAGCAAAGTTTAAGAAACAACATTTGCAATGCCAAGTTCGTGCAACTCTGAAATACAATCCACAAGAATGGAGCGCAGCATTCATCTACGCTGCTGCTTTCACAACAATGGGACTTCTCACACGGTGCTTTTGATCAGACCATGTTAACACCCCAAATGCATAATCAGCAGTAGCGTTTTCCCTCTTTGCCTTGAGAGTAACCTTGAAACTTTGCTCCTCGCCAACCTTTTCGAACCTGAGAATCTTGGGGTTCACAGTGACAGAGAATCCAACAGGGCTACGAACAGAAGCTGTGTAGGTAGCCGGAGAGCCGACGTTTTTCAGAGTTCTTGTCACGGTGGCTGTGCCTTTGAGGTGAGGGACAGCGATTGAGGGGTAGTTGAAGTTGGAGAGAGTAATGTGGTCAGGGCACTTGTATGGCGTCCCTAAAACCTTTGTGGTCTCAGTTTGATTGTAGCCTTGTGCGCAGATGAAGTTGACATAATCCGTGAGTTTCAAGTCGTAGACCAAGCCAGGATCTGCAGCGCGGTTTGGGTTTATGTGTCCAGCTCCATAAGCAAATGGGGTTGCTTCCACTCCAGTTTTATCGTCAGTTATGACCTTCCCCGAGTTGGCTCTTATTGTGGCTGTGAAAGGTAATGCGCATATAAGTAAACTTCCTAGACATCTTGAAATCATGAAATACATACCGGTGGTCATAATAGCAGATCTGATTGCTGCAGGGCTCCATGAAGGATAGAGCGTTTTGAGAAGGCCAACAACACCAGCTACATGAGGGCATGACATTGAAGTGCCTGATAGTAAGTTGAATGAAACAATTCTCTTATCATAATCTTCATCAGATGGCCCTGTGGCTTCTGTGAAGGCAGCTATCACATTCACTCCAGGCGCAGATATATCAGGCTGGAATACATGCATAAAGTATATAAAAAACATCACAGAATAGAATGGCTTATCACAATATAATTACCACAACTAATTAACAAACCTTGAGAATATCTGGATTAATGGTGTTAGGGCCTCTTGATGAGAATGGTGTTATCGCTGGAGCTGGCTTCACGCCCAATAGTGAGTTTGTATGAGTAATGTAAGCCACAGGATTCCTACTTATCATGTATTAATTTAATTAGTATATATGTAAGAGAATCTGATTATTAGTCATTGTCAACAGGTAGGGTGATCTTAATTACCTGGTTTTATTAATGTAATCAAAGATGGCAAGTCCATTTCTGTAGGTGACATGTGTAGCAGGGAGAAGATATGGCGAAGCAGCAATATTAATGTAATCAAAGGTTTCATTATTGTTTGCCAGAATCATTCCCACAGCACCAGCCAAAGCAGCTTCATGGCTCTGTTCAATTCCCTCAAATTTGCCTCCCAGGCAAACCAAAATTTTTCCCTTTACCTTTTTTGGGTCCAGAGTTCCAGGCTTACAAAACAGACTGCACGAGTTATAGCAAGTATCATTGGCTAGTATGATATTATATAGTGAATAACAGAGATTTCATACGTCCTTACGCATCATGGCTTGAAATGGATGCATTTTCAATTCTAGCGGATGCAGCAGAAAGAAGTGGATAGAACTTCCCAGTTGAGAGTTTTAGGGGCGCTGCACTTTCGCCCTACAAACACATCATATACTGCACATGATAACATTGAACACAGAACGAAGCAAGGAACTAACTAATGGAAACTTACTGTGTAGTGTTTGTTGTTTCCCAACACTACATTACTCTCAAACTGTCTGTCCATGGTGTTTGCCCCAACAGTGATGAGCCAGGGTGCAACATTATTGACAGAACCGGCAACAGGTCCAGAATTACCAGCTGAGGCAACCACAACTATACCATTCTTAACAGCATGGAAGGAACCAATGGCCAAACCGTCTTCAAAATATGGCCCAGGGTGGGCTCCTGCAAGTGATACAGACAGCACATCAACACCATCCTCAATCGCCCGATCAAAACCAGCAAGGATATCTGCATCAGTGCAATCTTCAGGCCAGCAAACCTTATAAGCAGCTACCCGAGCTTTGGGCGACCCACCCTTTGCTGTTCCATTGCCCAAACCGAAAACATTTGCTGCAGGAACAAAATTACCACCCGCTGTTGATAAGGTATGGGACCCATGACCATCAACATCACGTGGGCTGAAGAAGGAACTGGAATTAAGAGTGCCAACAACAGAAGAATACCCTTTGTTCAAGTATCTAGCTCCAATGAGTTTCCTTTGTTATCCAAATCATAAAAGCAAAGCAAGTTAGAACTAACATTTTTATCTAAATTTCAGATAAGGAAAACACCAACAAATTAAAGCTAGAAAAAAAGACCTGTTGCAGTGAAAGCTTTTATCTTTCTGAATCTGGCAAATCCCTTTCCACCTATTGGGAATTGGTCCAAATCCTTCGTCACTAAAGCTTTTTGATTCGGGCCATACTCCTGCAGCTCCAACACAGCATACAAAACATGATTACTGGGCAATAGATATAATTGAAATACTTTATGAAATTCTATTCTGAGAAACAAAAGCGCTATGCTGCAGACGACATAATGGATAGCAGCAGCCAGCAGATAACCAGAGTTGAGGATACATACCGCCATCAAGATTAGCGATGATGGTATCTTCTCCAAACCTGGCCTTTTTCCATATTGAACCATCATGGATTAAGCCGCCTTCACCTTCCAGTCCAAGAAACTCCCATGATCTGGTTGTCTGCAATTGTCTTGCCCTGTTCAAGAACACTGATATCACCTCCGGATTCTCTGCACATTACCATATTTGATGCACTTAAATCCCAAAACCTTTTGAAAAACCAAAACAGTAACTAATTAATACTGCTTGCTTACTGGCAATCTCAGCAGCCTCTTCTTCCTCAAGCATAGCAGCAAACCCATTGATGTGTCTGGTGTATGAGTAAAAGATTGCATCTCTCGCCTTATCCCAACTTTACATTATGCAACAACACATTGAACCAAAGAATCAGAACATTGAGGGATTGGAGAGCATACAAAAGCAACCAAAACCGTATTAAAAAGAAGCTGCTTCTAGCTATAATATTATATACCTTCCAAGGTATGTTCCAAGCAGCTGATGATGAGAATGTTTAACTCTGTCAAGATCAACGGAAGAGACTTGTTTTCCATGTGAATGACCACCCAAGTACACCACATATGACTATTTCCACACAAAAATTAATGTCAAACATAAATCAGCAGCTTTATCATCTAAAAGTCCATAGCTTCATGAAAGTAGTTGTATGAATATTTACCTTTTTGATGGAATACGTGGGTGAGGGTCTAAGAAACAGAGTAAAAATGAGTGAAAGAATGCAACACGGAATTGCTCTCATGGCTGCTACCATAAGCTAGTCCAATTCTTGTGCACTAAAAGAGTGGTGAGGCTAGCTTCTTTTTATAGGGGTAACTGGTACTCTTATGTTGATTAGAATAGCCAAGCATAACTAATTTGGACCATGAATTAATTAATTCATCGAATAATATTATAAACACTAATGTAACCAACTTTTAACGTGGGACTCCTCACATAACTTTTAAGGTGTATTTAGTCCTACAGGTAATATCAGATTTTAAGAATGTAAAACTATAGTGTTTTTTTTGAAAGCCAAGGCCAACTAGATAAAACTATAGTGTTTAGTTGTATTAGATTTTAAGTTATGTTGTATAATTTACTTAAATTCCTTTAATACAAATAAGTAAATTATATATATATATATATATATATATATATATATATATATATATACTTTATTAATTTAGATTTTAAGTTTTTTTGTTTTTTTTTGAAATTTGATTCTTAATTAATCTAAATTTTATCAAATCGAATATTTTACCACACGCACTAAGAATAATTTTTTTACACCTTCAAAAAAAAAATTCAAAAAAAGTTTTGGAAACATTTGTAGTAAACAAAATCATATATTTTGTGGTACTAAACACTTATAACTTTCGTCTCACGGCAACTTGGATATCTCTTCGGCGTGAACATTACTCCATAAGTCCATATTTCTTGACACCAATAATTTTTGGACGTAGACCTGTGGTCTTCGCCAATAATTCTTGAAGGCGTGTAGTTAGGGATGGAAATCGTGCACCAGCATTGTGCGTCCCCTGCCCAATACGACGTCATTTTGTTAAGTTGTGTGGAGGAGTTGACGCGACGAAGTTTATGTCTATTCTATTATATAATTATGTACATTCGAAACATGAGATGATTTTTTTAAGAGTTAAAGAGTTTATGTGTATTATGTTAAGAATTTATGTGTACTATGTATTAGAGAAAATTTCAATTTTGGTCCTATGACTATAAAGGTCTTGTTAATTTCAGTCCCTGACTTTTAAAAGTGTTAATTTAGTATCTTGACTATGCAATTTTTATCAATTTTGGTCACTCCGGTCAAATTGCCGGCCAAATTTCACCATAAAATTTTAATAGTTAAAATAATGAAGGTATTTTAGTGATCATTTCACATATCTTTGCTTCTTCTCTGGTGAATCCATCTTTTCCACCATGTTTCCGGCTCCGACAAAAAACCATACACCAGTCTACAGCGAAATCCCGAGCTCCAAAAGCAACCGCCCGAGCGTTTTCATGATTTCTCCGGCAAGGCTCGATGATATTCCAACGTGCCCGAATTCCGATTTCCTCAGCTCTTGCCATTTATGCCATAAAAAACTCTCCGGCAAAGACATTTACATGTACATGTACTTTTTCAACCGAAATTTTTGCAGGAGGTGCGCTGGACGAGCATAAAGAGAAGTGCGGTTCGAAGATTTCTAGATCCGCCGATATCTCAAGCTCCCCATACACAATTGTTCTTACATCATTGTCAGACCTGCGCGACCTAACTACAAAGTTGTTGATCATAAATATAATTACACCTGGACTCTAAAACAGTAGGATCATTTTTCAAAGAATTGACAATGTTGACATCCCACTGGCTCCAATTGAACAAGTTTACACATCAGAATTTTATGAAAGCATGAAAACTTCTAAAGAAATTTGTAAGTTAATTTTTACTATATCATTATAACAATATATATTGTAACTATATATTTTGAATTATTTATTATCATCATCTATTGACATGAATTGTAACAATTATCATTGACAAACTCTCAAAACAATTTGTCTCTACAACAAATATAAATTAAAAAAAATTAATGATTTCATTATTGTTGATGAAAAGTATGTACGTCACTTTATTACTCTTATTAAATTAAAAAAATTAGCAGCTACAACAAAAAAATAATACATGTGCATTTAATTAATTTAGAATTAGATAAGATGAATATAGTGATGAACAACTTGAATGATTGTGCACTAATGACCAACGGATTTCTCTCTAGGGTTTGCTAGAGTCTCTCTCCACCCCCAGGGTTTTGCTAGGTTTTCACGTGCTTTCTTGACCTTTCTCCGGCGAATTCTACCGGCTTTCAGCGTCGGCAACTGCTAAGGATACGTCATGGCGTCGACGGAAGGGGAGGGCGTGGCAGCACTGACGAGGCGTTGGGCGGATACTGTGTTGGATGATGAAGAGGACGTTGTTTTCAATCCAGTTGGGGGAGCCGCGGACGAGAACCAGCCGGAGACCGAGCCGACGTGGGGAGTGGTTGGGCGTTTCCTAACTACTAAGATTATCAAAGCGGAATATATGCGGCAAGTCATGGCATCCGTTTGGCAACCTGTACGGGGGGTTCAGGTTTCGGAGATCCAACCGAACCTATTTCTCTTTATTTTCTATCATGAGACGGATGTGCAGTATGTGATAGAGGAGGGCCCGTGGTCATTTAATAATCATTCGTTAGTATGTAAAAGGGTTCCGGATGGGGTGCTCCCGATTGATGTGGTGCTGGACACGATTGATTTATGGGTACAAGTGCATGATCTGCCTATGGGTTACACGGCAATACCAATTCTTGAGCAAATTGGAAATTTTGTTGGTACTTTTGTTAAGCTGGATGACAGGTTTATCGGGGCACCATGGTTGACTTACTACTGTATTCGGGTTTCAATACCGGTGGATAAACCGATCAAGCGAAGGATGAAGCTGCTAAAATGAGATAAGACAACGTGTTGGGTTAATTTTAAGTATGAAAGGCTGCACACATTTTGTTTTTGCTGTGGTATGTTGGGTCACTCTTATAAGTTCTGTCTAAGGGCTAGGGAAGCGCCGATACCGGTGGAGCAATATCCGTATTCTGCGGATTTGCGAGTGGGAGGAAATCGGGGGCCACGTGAAGTGGGTGACCCCTGGCTGATTCCTCTCGGTGGAAAAATGAAGGGAATTCCGACAGCAGGAGTACCGAAGAGGCAGCCGACGGTGGTTGTTGATCCGAGGGAAGAGGTAGTAGGGCGGGAGGCCGAGGAGGTGGTGGTTGCAGTGGCCAAACACCGCCGGGAACAGGAAGGGGATAGTACTGATGTGACGATGTTGGACAGCTCAAAAAACATGTTTATGGCGGGTTCTGGATCCCAGACCCGCCCGACCCAATGAGTATTCTGAGCTGGAACTGCCGTGGCTTTGGTAATCCACGGACAGTTCGTGAGGTGGTGGACATGGTGTCCCGTAAGCAACCCGATTTTGTATTTCTAATGGAAACCAAAGTGGCACGAGATCATGCTGAGCGACTTCGTGTCACGATTGGTTTCGAAGGTTTATTTTATGTTGACAACAATGGGTTAAGTGGTGGATTAGCGTTGTTTTGGAGGAAGAATAATACAGCGAGGCTCCTCAGTTACTCAAGGAATTATGTTGACATTGAAGTAACTATGACAGGTCATCCAGGCTGGAGGATGACGTGTTATTATGGTTTCTCGGAGCGTAATAGGCGTACTGAGTCCTGGGATTTGTTGAGGACGTTAGCGGCAAGATCGAATCTCCCATGGATTGTGGTGGGGGATTTCAATGATTTACTGTATCAGTATGAGAAGAGAGGGGGGAATCCGCATCCGAATAGCCTCCTTCGCGGTTTTGGGGAGATGCTTGAGGATTGTGGTCTGGCCCAGCTGCCGATGAGTGGATATCCGTATACCTGGGAAAAGGGGAAAGGGACAACAAATTGGATTGAAGAGAGGCTCGACAAGGTCATAGTAACGAATGAGTGGCGTAACATAATACCTCATGCTAAGGTTATGAACTTGAGAACCAGGAAGTCTGATCATTCGGCTATTTTCTTGGAATCCAGGAAGCCTTAGGGACGACTGGAGTTGGGAGGAGGGGTTTTCGGTTTGAGATGGCCTGGTTGTATGATGAGGGGTGTAGGGATGTGGTGGAGCAGTCGTGGCAGGAGGGAAGGGGACAGGGTTTGCAGAATTGTATTGAGTACTGTGGAAGCCGATTAACACGCTGGGGTGGAGATCGGTTTCATAAGTACGGAAAACAGATTTTGAAGCTGAAAAGGGATCAACAACGCTTGAGGGGGCGCATTGACCCAGCCACACTTGCCGAGTTCCAGCGCATAGAGCAACTTCTAAGCCGCACTGAGGCCCAGGAAGATGCCTACTGGAGACAGAGGGCCAAGCAACACTGGCTCAAGGAGGCCGATGCCAATACGAAATTCTTTCACATGTATGCCTCTCATCGTAAGAAAAAGAATACTATAGCTAAATTAATAAATGACAGTGGGGATTGGTTGGAAGGAGAGCCTATGAAAAACACTATCCTGGATTATTTCAATAATATTTTCTGCTCTGGAAGTCCGGGGTCTGGGGAGGGTTTTTTTGGGGGGATTCAACCGCGAGTATCACAGGCACAGAACGACTCATTATTACGGCCTTTTACTTCTGAGGAGGTAAAAGATGCATTGTTTGCAATGTACCCTGATAAGGCACCGGGCCCGGATGGAATGAATCCGGGTTTTTATCAGCATTTTTGGGATGTGGTAGGGGGATGTAGCGAATTTTGTGGTGAATTGCCTTGAATCTTGTGATCTTCCGCCTGGATTGAATGATACAGATATTGTGTTGATCCCTAAGAAGAATACTCCAGAATTGGTAACTGATTTACGCCCTATAGCTCTTAGCAATGTGGTTTACAGGATTATGGCTAAAATGATATCTAATAGAATGAAGCCTTTAATGGAAGAAATAATATCTGAATCACAGAGTGCTTTTATCCCGGATAGGTTGATAACGGATAATATTTTGTTAGCTGCGGAAGTTGGGCACTTTCTAAATAGGAAGCAGTGTGGATTGGGGGGATGGGGTGCTCTTAAACTAGACATGGCGAAAGCATATGACCGTATGGAGTGGCCCTTTCTTCGTAACATGATGTTGACACTAGGATTTCATGGTAGATGGGTTGAATTCATTATGAAATGTGTAACCACGGTTTCCTACAGCATTTTGGTGAATGGTTCTCGGAGTAACCCAATTGTACCCACACGTGGTTTAAGGCAGGGAGATCCGTTGTCCCCATATTTATTTATTATTTGTGCAGAGGGGCTTTCCCTATTATTGCAACAGGCACACAGTGCGGGATTGATACATGGACGCAGAGTGGCAAGAGGTGCTCCCCAAATCTCTCATTTATTTTTTGCGGACGATAGTCTGTTATTTTTTAAGGCTAATGTGGAGGAGGCAAATGAGATAAAGAGATGTCTGTCAGTTTATAAGGATCTATCTGGACAAGTGGTAAACTACCACAAGTCAAGTATTTGTTATAGCAAGAATACGAGTAATGCAGACAGGGAAAGTGTGGCTCAGGTTTTGGGTGTGGGACAGGCTCCAAATTTTGGCAAGTATTTGGGGCTTCCTTCTTTTGTTGGAAGGAACAAGAAGGCAGCTTTTGCATATATTGAGGATAAAATACGCCAAAGAATTGGATCGTGGAATAAGAGATTGCTGTCTCAAGCAGGGAAAGAAATCCTATTGAAGAGTATAGCACAATCTATGCCTACGTTTTCGATGAGTGTTTTGCTGCTACCACTATCAGTATGCACGGCGATTGAGAGAACCATGAATAGATACTGGTGGGACTCTGGAGCTGACAGACGAATACATTGGAAGGCATGAGATAAGTTGTGTATCCCTAAGAAATATGGTGGGTTGGGATTTAAAGATTTACGTGCGTTTAATCTAGCTATGTTGGGAAAACAGGAATGGCGAATGCTCACTAAACCTGATTCCCTAGTGGCTCGTGTCTATAAAGCCCGTTATTTTCCCAAAGGAACTTTTTTTTATGCACAGGTAGGGAATAATCCCAGTTTTTGTTGGCGGAGTATTATGGCAGCGAAGAGTATAATTTGTAGTGGGGTGAGACGCAGAATTGGGAACGGAGAGTCTACACTCATATGGGCTCACCCCTGGTTGCAGGATGAACAAGATCCCATGATACAAACGGAGATGCCAATACAGTTACAAGGGGCCAAAGTAGTGGGTTTGATTGATCAACAAACTGGTACATGGGATAATGCTATTCTAACAGATCTATTTCAACCTACTGATGTGACAAGAATTATGAGGATACCTGTCTCCCCGGATTATAATGATACATGGTATTGGCATGGGGACCCGAGAGGACTATATTCTGTAAAGAGCGGGTACAGGCGTTTAGTAGGAGATTATGAGAGTAATGGTGGGGCATTTGCGAAATGGTTAGCCCTATGGAGACTCAAAATCCCCCCAAAATGGAAAATGTTTATTTGGAGAGCTATTTGTGATATATTGCCTACCACTACAAACTTGCTTTTAAAGAGGGTAGATGTGAATCCATATTGTGCCATGTGTGGGATATCACAAGAAGATACAATGCATGC